CCCTTGTCGAAGATCAGGTGACCGTAGGTGGATGGATTTACATCTGGGTTCTCAATTCTGTTCCATTGGTCAGTGTATCTGTCGTTGTACCAGTACCAGGACGTTTTGACTATTGTAGCTGTATAGTAGGTTCTGAAGTCAGGTAGTGTGAGTCCTCCATCTTTATTCTTCTTCAGTAGTGCTTTACTTATTCGGGGCTTCTTTGCTTTCCACATAAAGTTAATGATTAGTTTTTCCATCTCTTTGAAGAGTGTTGTTGGTATTTGGATAGGGATTGCGTTGTATTTGTAAATTGCTTTGGGTAGAATTGTCATTTTCACAATGTTCAGTCTGCCTATCCATGAGCATGGTATGTTTTTTCATTTATGTAGATCCCTTTGGGTTTCATGCAGTAGTGTTTTGTAGTTTTCTTTGTATAGGTTGACCTTCACTCTTAAGCCTTTAAAATCGAGATTAACAGGAGGAAAAACAGGTTTTTTATTCCTGTGTTCATGCCTCTCCCCCATACAAAGCAAAATCCCTGGAGAGTCACTCTGTGTTGTGATCCTACCTGTCCATTTTGTATTGATGCGTAGCATAGGAGAGGCTGTTCTTGAAGTTAGAAAGGCAGCTGGGTGAAGTAAGTGGCTGGCAGTCCTCCTTTTTTTGTTTTTATTAATATTATGTTTTTGGTGAAAGATTATACAGCAAATTAGGTTTCCATTTGACAATTTCTACACAAATCATTCAGTGACATTAAGTTACATTTTTCACAATGTGTCAACATTCTCTGATTGCATTCTGGTTGTTCTGTTTCTAGTACTCTAGTTTCCCTGCCCACTTATCTTTTCATCTTTGTTTTAGAGTGATTGTTGACTACAGTCTTTATTTTTCCCCTGTAGACTTAACTGTCTCATGGTAAGCCAGGGTGTTGCTTTTCCCTTCCAGCAGTGGTGAATAGCCTAAGTCATGTCTGCACTTCTGTAAGTCTCTCAGTCATTCCTCAGCTTCTTTGTATTTATTTAGAAATTATGTCTGGGTTTTATTTCCTAGGGCCTGGTTAGGTATGTTTCTTCAGTGTATCCTCCTGGAAGCCATTAAGATGCATATACATATTACTTAAATTTACCTAAAGACTGTTTTATATTCTGGTCAAGAAGTTACTTTTTATTCTGTTTCCCATCTTAAAATATGCCTTCCTGGTTCTGTTAGTCACTTCATAGGGCTATTCAATGTCATGAGTATAACTCTGTAGAATTGTATGATATATAAAATGCCTTAGAATTTGTCCCTTGCTATGAGATGTTAAATTACACACTTTTACCAAATGAGACAATGACGGCGATCTCACTAATTAATTCCTACGTAATTATGATTTTTGTTTTTTACTGATTTTTAAATATTTTATTGAGTTTTTGATGAAAGTTCACACAGCAAATTAGGTTCTCATTTAACAATTTCTGTACATATTGTTCAGTGACATTGGTTACATCTTCCACATAGTATCTGCAATCTCCATTTTTCCGTTCTGGTTGTTCCACTTCCATTAATCCAGCTTCTTTGTCCTCCCCACCCCCACCTTCTCATCTGTGCTTTAGAGTAAATTTGACTATTTGACCTCATATAGATGATTTTTTTTTTTTTTTTTTTAAGGAGCACAGTACTCATGAGTGATACTGTTTATTTTATGAGCCTATCTGTTATTTAGCTGAAAGGTGACCTCTGGGAGTAGTTTAAGTTTAAAGGGTATCTCATGGCGATAGTCTCGGGGGTTCCTGTAGTCTCTTACCAGTCTAGTAGGTTTGGCCTTTTTAAAAAAAAGATAAGAATTAGAGTTTTGTTCTAGAATTTTCTCTCATTCTGTCTGGGACCATTTATTGTGTCCTTGGTCAGAACAGTTGGTAGTGGTAGCCGGACACCATCTAGTTCTTGTGATCTCAGGTTAGGTGAGTAGATGAGGCCAGGGTTCATGTGGGCCATTAGTCCGGTAGAGTAGTTTCTTCTTTGAGTCTTTGGCTTCTTTCTTTCTCTTTTACTTCAGATGAGTAGAGACCAATAGCTGTATCTTAGATGGCCACTCACAAGCTTTTAAGACCCAAGATGCTACTTACCATACTAGGATATAGAACATAAACTTCATAGACTATGTTGTGCCAATTGACCTAGTTGTTCCACGAGACTGTGGTATTTGCAAGATATTTGGTTATGTCTGGCAGGTAACCATGACTGTGTCCCGTACGTGCTTTATTATGTTTATGAATATATGTGCGGCACACACAAACACATATATATCTATGCCTATGAAGCCCATTGACATCAAGTCGATTCTGACTCATAGCGACCCTATAGGACAGAGTAGAACTGCCCCATGGGGTTTCCAAGGCTGTAATCTTTACAGAAGCAGACTGCCACATCTTTCTGATGGGCTGATGGGTTCGAATCACCAACCTTTTGGTTAGCAGCTGAGCACTTAACCACTGTGCCACCAGGGCTCTGTGCCTACAGATACACTTATATAAGCACATGTATATACCCACATATACATTCCTATATACATACATGCATATATATCTACTTTTGTAACCCCTCACATATTTTTTGGTTGTTGCTGCTATTGTTGCCAAATTGTATCTGTTATAGCATTTACCAGTAAGTTCCCTTAATCTTGTATATTTCTTACTGTCATCATTTACCTTCGTTAAGTTGTGCACATTTCACCCACATCTGGTATTGCCTTTCCCGTCACCAAAAATAACAAGTGTCTGCTGTCTAACGAGTGATTCCCCCTCCCTCCCTAATTGTGATTTTTAAGATACAATTCCTTCATTTACCAAAAAGATACACACATTTAACCAAGTGATTAAGCCCTTTAGATTTCATTCTTTAGGAAATAGGGTTTTTCTCCATGTTAAGCTATGGAAAGGTGCCAATCTATAGTTTTAGCTCTTCATTCCTTCTCTAACAATGCATCAGTAGCTTAAAAATCCAATGTGAAATGATACCTCACAGCATCTCATTCTGGATTGGAATGATGAGGGTCTAATCCGTTTTATTTTTCTACAAAAGATATAACAAAAGATTTCTTCATAGTGTAATATAATACCGTATTATAGGTTAAGTATGTGTTAAATGTTGTGTATGGGTTAAGGGTTGGGACAGTGACTTTGCTGAAAATGGTTTGTTTTTCCGTCTTAATTTTCCTTTCTTCCTTTATTTTAAGGATTCCTAGATGAGGTTATGAAGAAGTATGGCAGTTTGGTCCCACTTAGTGAAAAAGATGTCCTTGGACGACTAAAAGATGTCTTTAATGAAGACTTTTCTAATAGGTTTGTCAATGATGATTAATTTAAATCCTTGAAAATAAAATTGTTGGCAGGTATAATTTTTCTCTTGGTAAAACAAGTTACTTAGCAATAAATTGAGTAGAATTTGTGTTTCTTACCATTTCTCCCAAAATCTTTCTGTTTCAGAAAACCATTTATCAATAGGGAAATAACAAACTATCGGGCCAGACATCAAAAATGCAACTTCCGCATTTTCTACAACAAGCACATGCTAGACATGGATGATCTGGCGACCCTGGATGGTCAGAATTGGCTGAATGACCAGGTTAGTGTGTTACAGGTTCTCAAAAGTTGGACCTCAAAAATAGATTCTGGAAAAGTTGTGGAGGATGTTGGACGATAAAATATAATAAAGAAGCTCAGGGTTGGCCTCACAGTTATCTTTTGGAATAAAGAATTCTTTATTCCTTACTGACGTGGCTTCTTTACCAACCCCAGGATCCAAAAGGCTCGATTACTAGTATCAAAATATTATTCATTCTGATTGGTATGTTCTCAGTTGTATAGGGTTGATAAATGGCTTTATGTTGACTTTTTACAGGTCATTAATATGTATGGTGAGCTGATAATGGATGCAGTCCCAGACAAAGTAAGTGAAAACTTATCTTCTCCAAGGGAGTCCTTGTGTATTAAAAGGAGCTACATATATAAAAAAAAAAAAAAAACTTCATACAATTATTTGGTATTCAGATTTTTTAAAAATGGTTAGGCTTTGTATTGATTACGTGCTAGTACTGGGCATAAGCTCTATTCTACTAAATCACTTCTGTGTAAGAAAGGCACCCATACCCATTGCCGCTGAGTCGATTCCGACTCATAGTGACCCTATAGGACAGGGTAGAACTGCCCCACAGGGCTTCCAAGGAGCGGCTGGTGGACTCAAACTGCCAACCTTTTAGTCAGCAGCCAAGCTCTTAACCACTACGCCACCAGGGCTCCAAGAAAGGCATAGTACCAGTGTTTTCCTGCTTTAGAGTGGGTGTTTTTTGATACCTTGATGATCCCCCCCCCCTTTTTTTTTCATCTTCACTTTTTCTTGGATTAATCTTTGATGATCTTTGAAAATCCCTAAAGTTCTAAATTCCTTAAGATCTTAGTTACATATTTAAACTATTTTTTGTAAATTTTAGTAATCACACGATTCTGATGCACATAAAGTTTGGAAATCACTGATCTAGAGACAATAACTACAAGATTAATGAAGCTGCGTGGTTCTCAAACAAATGTATGTTAGAATCATCTGGAAGGTTTATAAAACCAGATTGCTGGGCCCCACCCTCAGAGTTTCCGATTGAGTAGGGCTGGGTGGTGGTGTTCATTCTCATAGTGAGTTGATGAGTTGACTCATTGAGTTGATTCCAACTCATAGGGACCCTATAGGACAGAGTAGAACTGCCCCATAGAGTTTCCTAGACTGTAATCTTTACAGAACCAGACTGCCACATCTTTCTTCCAAGAAGCTGCTAGTAGGTTCGTACTGCCAACCTTTTGGTTAGCATGCCGGCGTTTAACCACTGTGCCACCAGGGCTTCCTAGGTCTGGGTTAGGGCCTGAGAATTTGCATTTCTGACAAGTTCCTAGGTAATGCTGATACTACTGATCTGTTGACCACACTTTGAGAATTTTAGTACTAAGGGAACAGTTTATCATCTCACAGGACTCTTAAGTTACTGAGTGAACACTTTAAGACTACAATGTGTTTATTATCTCAGGTGAGCTGATGCTACTTATAAGCCAGAAATTTGAAGCCAGGATGCAGGACCTGAGGCTCCATATGGCCAGGCTAATTCTTTTGGGGCTAGAAATGATCGTGCTAAGCCTGGTTCATAGTTATTATGACAGCAAGAATCTCCAAATCCCCATCCCCCAGATGGGGTTAGTTTTGCAATGCATATCTCTTGAGTTCAAGGTAATGGTTACCTCATTCTCTCATTGTCTCTTTCATCTTTGTCACCTGATTTGGAGAGATTTGTCAGGTTGATTCTCTATCTGATTGGATTCAGGTAATCTATTTACAGTAAGTCCCCAGGTTAGGAATGCAACTTGCCCTTTAATGTTATGTAAATCTGCCCTCACTTTGAACGGAATGGTTGAACCAACCCCTACTGGCAACAAACTCTTCACCACAGTCACCTTCCCTTGCTGCATGTGCACCTGCAGCTTTTAAGTCATTGGAAAGGCTTCGAGCCTTTTCTTGGACTAAACCAAAAGACCAAACCTGTTGCCGTCGAGTTAGTTCCGACTCATAGTGACCCTGTGGGACAGAGTAGAACTGCCCCATGGGGTTCCCAATGAGCGGCTGAGAGATTCGAACTGTTGACTTTTCGGTTAACAGCCAAGCTTTTAACCACTGCGCCACCAGGGCTCCCTTGTGCTAAAGTAAAGCTAAATGAGAACTGTGTGCACCTCTTCTGACTTACCTACAAATTCGACTTAAAGACACACTTAGGAATGGATTTCGTTCATAACCCGGGGACTGCCTGTACTGCATGATTCCACTTCTGACTACCACAGCTGTAAGGTCATTCTAATGAAAATTTGCAACAGAATCTTCTGAGCACCATGTAATGTATTTTCTGTGTTTTGATCTTTGTTTTGAAGAAGAAACTTTTCCTCTTCTTTTTGTCTATTCTACTCGCAAGAATTTTTAAATTTCCATTCTCTTTTGAAGTTGTGTCTTGGCACAGCTTAATATTACTTGGTTGTTTGTATTTGTGTCTGTTCTAGGTTCACTTCTTCAACAGCTTTTTTCATAGACAGCTGGTAACCAAAGGATATAATGGAGTAAAAAGATGGACTAAAAAGGTATTCTCTTTCTCTTTTCTTTAAGTGTTTGAAATGCAGATGATAAGCCACCTTGGGTAGAAGGATAAGAATTTTAATGCCAATATATTAATTGAAACAGACTCTTTAATGTGACCATTGTTTTTTATTGTTTCTTTTAAATAGACTCTGAGTCTATGCAGTTGATTGGAATGTGCTATAACTGAAAGTGCACTAGGCTGGGAGTTAATAGTTCCAGTATCCTGTTAACTTGCTGTGTAACTTGGACAGATCACTTGTCTGAGCCTTAGATTGCTCAATTCCAAAGCAAGATGGTAAATCAGATAATCCCTAAGATTTCTTCCAACTCTTATTTTTCTCTGTATTCAGTGACTATGCCAGACACATCATTTTAAAAGGGAAACATCATTTATATTCTGTTTTTTATATTTTGACAAAATTACCAACAAGTTAAAATTCCAGAGTCATAAGTCTAGAGAGAGTCTCTCTTCACTTTTCATACTGAGTGGGTTGGAGAAATTGAGAATGAGTCTTGTCTTAAGTAGTTGTGGATGGAAACAACTTTGAAAAATACAGACACCCAATTGAACATTACTGTGTAGGTAATACGGACACAAGGCGTCGTCAGTAGTGCCAAGTGAAACAGATGAATGAAATATGGTTGAAGAGTGCAAATCTGGTGTGGGAAATGGATGAATGAGCTCAGGGATCAGACCTGATTTTCACATTCTAGTTGAGCCACTTAACTGGCTGTAAGACCTTGAGCAAATTACTTAATTCCTCTAAGCTTCAGTTTCCACATCTGTAAAATAGGAATATTGATAGTATTTACCTTACTGTGAGGATTAAATGAGATAATGCATGTAACCCACTAAATGCATGGTGAACACAAAGTAAATGGTAATCATTATTATATCGTGACGTATAATATTAACCTGAAAAATGCAAATTTAGTCCTTTGATTTACTAATTCAGCTACTTGAATTTATTCTAAGGACATAATTTCAAAAAGGAAAGTTCTGTATGTACAAAAATGTGTGTTCACCAGATAGCTAATAGTAGCAAAAAATTAAAAACAACTTAAAATGTCAGGTAAACTGATACGTCGATTTCATGGAATAATGTGTTCTTTCTAAAATAATTATGGATAGAGCTTTGTATAAAATGGAATAATCCATTCGCATTTATATACCTCCCTTGTCCCCACAAAGCCAAATGAAATGAACAAAAACAACCAAAAATCAGGAGGAAATTTTCATTTATAATGAAACTAAGAAACCACAGTTTTACACCGCAGAACGTGTGGACTATCAGCCAGGTAAAAGAAATTATTTACCACATCAAAGGAGGATATAGTGATCTAACACATTTCTTCCCTAGTCTTCAACAAGGTTGCTGATTTCTCAGAGTGTGTGTGAGGGCCCTAAAGGATCGTACTTGCTAGAAAGCTTTTGCCAGGAAAGACAAGGGCCAGGGATTTGAGTGGGCCACAGGAGAATCCGGGAACACCCTGCTTGGTACCCATGTCCACTCCATAGAATAACAGACGAGGCAGGACTGAAGGAGGAATCCTGTGATCACACTATTCTACTTTCCCCTTTTTGGATCTCCAGGAGATGAGGTAGGGAAATAGCAGTCAGTTTTGTGACAGTTAGAAACAGGGCCAACTGACAGAAATAAATATGCATTAACCTAGGGATTGGCAGACTACTGCCTACGGGCCAAATCTGTTTCTGTTTTTATAGAAGAGTTTTATTGTGACACAGCCATGCCCGTTTATTTTCATATTGCTAATGGCTGCTTTTGCGTATAAGAACAGAGCTGAGTAGTTGCAGCAGAGACCATATGGCCTGCAAATTCTGAAATACTTACTCTCAGATCTTTTACAGAGAAAGTTTGCCAACCCCTGCACTAACTCACTAAGCAGAAGACCTTTGAGATATGAGGCTTTACATTGATCTGGCCTCTCATTAGAATCCATCTGAAAGCACAGGAATGGTCAGAACACTTCCACGGAACTGGATGCATCTCTGGGGTGGTTGTTGTTAGCTGCCATAAAGTCAGACCCCAACTCATGGTAACCCTGTGCACAATGGATCGAAATGCTGCCCTGTCCAGTTGCAGGTCAGACTGTTGTGATCCATACGGTTTACATTGGTTCATTTTCGGAATAGGTCACCAGGCCTTTTTCCCACCACTGGGATAGAAAGGTTTTAATTGATTTTGTGGTTAATTTCTTGAAAAATATACAAATTGCAGCAGGTTATCATTACCTTACTCCCAACTTCCCATCAAGTTCTAAAATCTGGACAGAGATTTCAAACCTTTAAAATCTAGCTCCCTCGCTTAAATTTTATGGGAACATAGTAGGCCTAGGTAGGATAAACTGTCCTCTTTAAAAGTTGTGCATACAGAAAAATCCAGCATGGGTATAATGCAAAGGTAGTGTTCCCCAAAATGAGGGAAAAAAATTATAAAACAAGGCAGATAAAACTTACGAATTAAAAAGGAGTCATGTCAGGAAACGAAAGACATATACTGAAAGTGCTGTGTATTGGCAAGATCAAAGTTTTGTAATTGACTGTGGTTAGGAAGGAGCTGACTGGGAGAGTGCAGAAAATGAAAAACAGTTCAAAGTAGAGATAAGGCACCAGAATGGGATGAAAAGGAAGCTGGTGGAGTGAACGGAAGAAATTATAGAATCGTCTATTTCTATCTTCAGCTTTTGCTTCATGTATTTTGGGGCTTTGTTGCTAGGTGCATGTCATGGATTGAATTATGTTCCCCCAAAAATGTGTGTATCAACTTGTCTGGGCCATGATTCCGGTATTGTGTGATTTTCCTATGTGTTGTAAATCTTGCCTCTATGATGTTAATGAGGGAAGATGGGTGGCAGTTGTGTTAGTAAGGCAGGACTCAGTCTACAAGATTGGATTGTGTCCTGAGGCAATCTCTTGAGATATAAAAGAGAGAAGTGAGCAGAGAGACCGGGGGACCTCATACCACCAAGAAACCAGTGCCAGGAGCAGAGCGTGTCCTTTGGACCAGGGGTCCCTGTGCCGAGAAGCTCCTAGTCTGGGGGAACATTGATGAGAAGGCTGATGGAAGAGAAAGCCTTCCCCTGGAGCTGATGCCCTGAATTTGGACTTTCAGCCTACTTTACTGTAAGGAAATAAACTTCTCTTCGTTAAAACCATCCACTTGTGGTATTTCTGTTATAGCAGCACTAGATAACTAAGACAGTGCGTATATGTATGTGATCGTATATCTTCTTGAAGGCTTGACCCTTTTATCACTATAAAATGCCCTTCTTTGTCTCTAGTAACAATTTTTGTCTTAAGGTCTATTTTGTCTGATATTAGCATAGCCACTCCAGGTCTCTCTTGGTTACTATTTATAGTGTTTTTTTCCCCCTTTCTTTTACTTTCTATTTATTTGAGTCTTTGTATATAAAGTCATTCTTTTAAAGATATCATATAGCTTTCTAGATTATGTCTGTAGGGTCATATTTTCTTAGCTATTCTGCCAAACTGTGCCTTTTAATTGGAGAGTCAAATCCATTTACATTTACTGTTACTACTGATAAGGTAGGCTTTACATCTGCTATTTTCCATTTGATACCTATGTCTGAAATCTTTTTTGTTCCTCATTTCCTCCATTACAGCCTTCTTTTGTGTTAAATAGATATTTTCTACTCTACCATTTAATTCCTTTGCCATTTCTTTTACTATATGTATTTGAGTTATTTTTCTTCATCGTCGCCCTGGGAATTTCCGTTAACATCTTCATTTATACCAATGTATAGTTCAGATTAATACCAACTTAATTTCAATAGTATATAAAAAGTTTGCTCCTGATGTGCACACACACATGCGCATGCATGCAGGCATGCGTGGTGTGGACAGATGCCATGGTAGGATCACCAAGGACCCAAGGAATGCCCAGTACTACCTACAAAGAAGGGTCCCTAATTTGGAATTTCAGCCTCAAGAATTTGAGGAAATAAATTTTTGTTCTTTAAAGCCAAAACAAACAAACCCAACAACACCAAAACTTTTCTTGTTGTAACTCTGTCACCCCCTCCTGTGCGATTATTGTCACAAATTACATCTTTATACATTGTGTCCCTATCAACATAGACTTTAAATTATTGTTTTATGCAGTTGTAAATCAGATAGGAAATGAAAAAGAGTTACAAACAAAAAATACATTTATACTGCCTTTTATATTTACCTATGTAGTTACCTTTACCACAGCTCTTTATTTCCTCGTGTGGATTCAAGTTACTCTCTAGTTTCCTTTTATTTCAGCCTGAAGGACTCTCTTTAGCACTTCTTGTAGGGGCACATCTTCTAGTGACAAACTTTCTTACTTTTTATTTGAGAATGTTTTAATTTCTCCTTCATTTTTTCTTTTTTTTGTTTTAATAATATTTTATTGTGTTTTCAGTGAAAGTTACACAGTAAATAAAACCAAACCCGTTACCGGTCAAGTCGATTCCGACTCATAGTGACCCTATAGGACAGAGTAGAACGACCCCATAGGGTTTCCAAGGAGCAGCTGGTGGATTTGAATTGCTGACCTTTTGGTGAGCAGCTGAGCTCTTAACCACGATGCCACCAGGGCCACTTTAGGTTCCCGTTTAACAATTACTATAAAAATTGTTTGGTGACATTGATTACATTTTTTACAACGTGTCAATATTCCCATTAAACCCATTCTGGAAGTTTTATTTCCAGTAACGTGGTTTCCCTGTCCCCTGAATTTTTCATCTTTGCTTTTGAATAATTGTTGACCATTTGGTCTCATGTGGTTGTTGTTTTTGTGTTCTTAGGTGCCATAGAGTTGGTTCCGATTCACAGCAACCCAGTGTACAAAACAACAAAACATTGCCCGGTTCTGCACCATCCTCAAGACCATTGTTGCAGCTACTGTGTCAGTCTGTCTTGTTGAGCGTCTTTCTCTTTTTCATTGACTCCGTACTTTACCAAGCTTCATGTCCTTCTACAAGGACAGGTCCCTCCTTATAACCTGTCTAAAGTATGTGAGACAGTCTCCCATGCTTGCTTCTAAGGAGCATTCTGGCTGTAATTCTTCAAAGATAAAGTTGTACGTTCTTCTGGCGGTCCATGGTATATTCAGTATTCTTCACCAACACCATAATTCAAAGCCATCAATTCTTCAGTCTTCCTGTCTTAGTCACCTAGTGCTGCTATAACAGAAATACCACAAAGTGGATGGTTTTAACAAAGAGAAGTTTCTTTCCTTACAGTAAAGTAGGCTAAAAGTCCAAATTCAGGGTGTCAGCTCCAGGGGAAGACTTTCTCTCTCTCTTGGCCTTCTCATCAGTGTTCCCCCGGACTAGGAGCTTCTCGGCACAGGGACCCTGGTCCAAAGGACACGCTCTGCTCCCGGCACTGCTTTTTTCCTTTCTTTTTTTTTTTTAATTGAACTTTATTTATTTATTTTATTG